TAAATAGGGAAGGGTGGAGGGGTTGAAGGGCGCACAGGTAATGGGGAAAAAAATAAGAACCAAGATACATCATGTACAGGTACAAGCACCCAATGATAAACGTAAATGTATTGTATACCTAAAATGTACCAATAAAAGAACCAAAAAAAAGAATTCCTCAGATACATAATCCTTAAAAAACATGTATAAAAGTAGTACACTCACCCACAAACTCTTCAACACAATCAATTATCATCTTTAATATACACAGAAGATAAAACAAATCCAAGTTTACCCAGAACTTACAAGAGTGGAATATCAGTGATTAACTGCATTAAACAGCAGAGCAGTTCTTCCAAAAGATCTTCTGAATCTGAACCTGATAAGACACACAGAAAGCTTTTTAATAAGGTATAAAACAAAATGGAATTGTTTAGAAGTTAGGTCTCCATTTGTAATGAGAGTGAAAATTATCATTACATTACATTCAAACACTGATTTTGACTTCTGAATAAAAACTAAATCATGAGCAAGTTAGCATCCATTAAGACCTTCACCTAGTATAGGAATTTTGGCTTGAGTTGTTTGGTTTTTGTTTGTTTGTTTGCAGTAGTGGGAACTGCAATATAGTGCTTTATGCATCCTAGGCATGCACTCTCCCACTGAACCATATCCCCAGCCCTAGTATAAAAGTTTTGAACACCAGCTATTAATAACAGCTTTCAAGGCCAGTAATTTTCCAATTCTCCCCATCCTCACAACCTCCCATACTGGAGATTGAACTCAGGGTCTTCACACTGAGCTACATCCTCAGCCCTTTTTAAATTTGTATTTTGAGATAGGATTCTTTTAGGAACTGAGGAAAGAATCTCATGAAGCAGTAGGAATCAGTAGTGTTCAAAACAAAAATCACATGATATCGGGCCAGGGATTTAGCTCAGTGATTCCGGCGCCTGGATCACAAATGTAAGGTCCCGAGTTTGATCCCCAGTACCAAAAAAAAAAAGAATATAAAAATCACATGATATTGATTGGCTTTGAAAATCTAGAAGTCATTTAGCAGTCTTAGACAAAAAATATTTCTATTAGAATAGTAATTTGTATCCTACCATTGCCATTTATTTTTTCTGTGACTTGAGAAGGGCATTTTATCGTGGGCTTATTATTTATAAAGAGTTGGTTTGTTTCTTAGTGGGATTCACACTGTGACTGTGGTTTCCAGAGGTTCAGAAAAAGTACCTTAAGGCTCATCAAGACAATCAAGGTTAGGGCCAGTATTAACAGCGGGGAGGAGTACTGGTCCTCTACCCTTCCTTCAAACAAAGCAGCTAGCACAGCTTAATATTTATACATTTTATACATTTAACTTTAACATAACATCTCACTAAAAGAATTTAATGAAGGAGTAACAGTAGTGTCCAAAACCAGAAATCACAGAAAATACTGATTGGCTTTGGAAATTTGAAGGTCACTTAACTACAGCCTGGGACAAAACACACCCATTGAAATGGTAATTTGCATGGTAGCACATAACTGTGATCTGAGCACTATGGGAGGCTGAAGCAGAAATATCACAAGTTCAAACCCAGCCTGGGCAACTTAGCAAGACCTTGTCTCAAAATAAAAAATAAAAAAGAGCTAGGGATGTAATTCAGTGGGAAGGTCCTGGGTTCAATCTCTGGCACTACTAAAAAAAAAAAAAGGAAGGAAAGAGGAAAGAAACTACTGTCTTACAGTCCTATAGCATCTTATGTCTAATTAACTTCCTTTTCCATTTCTTGCCAGCATCTGCTTCTTAAGAGTATCTTCCCTCCCTGAGTTCTTCCATTGGCTGTCTTCTCACTCACCATGCTTGCTCTCAACACTCACCACTTACCTGCTAGTGATTCCTAGTCACAGTTTTCCTCTGGACCTCTCCACTGACAACCATAGATCTCTATCCAATTGCCTACTGATCATCTCCACCCAGAAGCGTCATTAGTACATCAAACTCCACATGTTCAAAACCGAATTCACCTCTCCCAACTCTTCAAAACCACTTGTTTCTTCTTTATTCTCCTTTTCAGTGACTGCATCAGTAATTCAAGGTGAAAAGCCAAACTACTCTGTCATAACTCATCCTTCTATAGTCAACCCATCACTGGGTCCTCTCAACTACAGTCCACCCTTCTGACACTGCCTCTTTACTCCCTGTCATGCTTTCCTTCATTATATTACCTCACTTCAGTTAAACAAGTTTACTACATTACAACTCACTCCTGAACATCTTGAAATTTTCCTACTTGTAGTATTTGTACCTCCAAGTTTCACTCTTCTTCAATCCAAACTCCAGATTTTTATCAGAGAGAGGTAAGTAAACTCCACACTTTCATTCTCCTAGCTTAGATCTTTTTGATTACTTTAAGCTAATGGCTATCAAGACAATTCCAAACTCCAAAGTACAGCATGCCAGACCCTTCAAGTTACAAACACCTTGCACCTGCTGGTATCTCTGTTTTCCTCCATTACTCCCTTCACAATGATATTCCAAGTTATTCCTCCTCAAAAACACTCCCTCAGGCCGGGGATTTAGCTCAGTGGTTCCACTGCCTGCCTCGAAAGCAAAAGGTCCGAGTTCGATCCCCAGTACCAGAAAACAACAACAACAACAACAACAAATTCCCTCTTCCTGGAATAGCCTCCAACAATGAACACTTGATATTTTAAAAAGCTCATCTTTCTCCATTTAAACCATCCTTGACCTCCTTCTCCTCTTAAAATTCAACTCTCTTGCCTCAACATGAATAAAAATAATCATCTATAATCTGTGCATACATGGATTATGTCAGTGTACATTATCATTTGTCCACATGCAGGCAGGCCCCTACTGGACTCTATACTTCCTGAGGGCAATGACTGACAAAGGGCTGCACAACATTCAGCCCTCCACAGCTATAGGTTCCACATCCATGGATTCAGCCAACTATAGACTGAAAATGTTTAGGAAAATTTTTTTTTATTTTAATAAATTTTATTTTATCCCATTCCCCCCTCCCCTTACACCCCTCCACTCCATATGTATAAAAGCTTTGTTTCCATTTTTTTCTTCTATTTTCACTTTTTTTCTTGTCCCTTTCTTCCTTTCTCCCTCCTTCCTCCCTTGTTCCCCTTCCCATTTGAACATCTTGTCCTGAACATATACATTTTTTTCTTTTCATTATTCCCTAAACAATATAGCATAACAACTATTTGCATAACATTTTCATTGTACTCTTTATATAAGTATTACGGAGATGATTTAAAGTATATGAGAGAAGCTGGGTGTAGTGGCATATGCCTATAATCCCAGCACTCAGGAGGCTGGGGCAGGAAGATCACTTCAAGTTTGAGGATAGCCTGGACTACATAGTGAGCTCAAGACTAGCCTGAACTGCACAGCGAGACCCTGTCTCAAAAAAAAAAAAAAAAAAAAGTATATGGAAAAATGTATGCTATATCCAAATACTAGGCCATTTTCATTTTATATAATGACTTGAACATCTGTAAATTTTGGTTTCTATATGGACTTGTAAAACCAATAGATACCAAGGAGAAAATTGTATTATATACACAATATATGTTTGCTGAACAGAACCTAGGTATATTAGTAAAGATCCAGCAGTTGTATCTAAAGCATCAGAACACTCTGAGTCCCAAAACCAGCTCAGCAACTTTTTTCTAGGTCACCGTATTAGCTGGTATTCAGCAATTACAGAGAAACACTTTTCTGCCTTGTCACAAATAGAACTGGCAAGTAACCCTTTAACAGAGTACAAATAGTGAGGAGAATATTAAATCATATTGAACATATCAATCAAGACTCAAGTTCAACAACCACATTAAATTTCAGTCCAATAAGGAGTGAATCTAAAATCTGTTTCATCACCAAGCCTATCCAACCTAACCCAAATGAGTTAACAACTGTTCCAACAAGTTCATTTGTTGGCACGTTATACTCAGTATGTTTGCTGAACTGTCACTCCTTAGCGCATTCTACAGAGTACAGTGACCCAGACAAAAAGGAGAACATTTAAAATCGCTCATTGATTCCTTAAAGAACATTTCAGACCACATGCCAATTTAATAACCTATTCCTGTGCAGCTAAGCAGCCAGCAGAGTTTCTTTTTAATTACAGAAGGTGAGGGAACACATGATCAGGACCCACAGATGGTGCCTGGTTGGATTTTTTCTTCCAGGCCTGTAAACACATCTAATTTTTAAACATTAAATCAGTGACAATTCAGTGATTATTCACTTCCATGAGCCATCCAAATCATGACCTCAGCCAAGTTTACAACTAAGTCAATTAAGATACATTCACAGCCTTTTTATCAGTTTAATACAATAAATGAAGATAATAAATAATTTCACACAAGTAAAATGTAAGATTTCAAAGCCAATGCTCTAACAAAAGACAAGAATAGCAATTTCCAATTGAAATCCTTGAAAACTTAACATTTATTGGAAAAAATTCCTCAGAATCCCTTTTATTGTTTTGGAGGCTAATCTAGAAGTATATAATTGTACAGTAAGTGAACAGAGGCAAGATTTGGCTGCTTCAGGGAGTAGAGGAGAATGGGAAAAAAGAATTAAGATATATGATATACAGGTACAAATTTCCTATGATGAATGTGATTAATGTGCATGATAAATATGCACTAATAAAAAAAAAGTTAAAAAACAAAAGAGATGGACTCAACTCGATGTACAATTGATGGAGAAATAGATTTTTTTAAAAAAATCTGCCTGCTTACCATTAAGCAAGCTATTCATATTACATTATTTCTCAAGCAGCATTTATAGCACCTTAGTCTATGTAAGTTCAGATTCTTCTTAGTTCCAATAAAAATAAATTCATCTACCAAAAATTACAGTAACACACACATTTCTCACCATAAAAATAATCTCCTTTTTGTTGTTTTTTATTTGTTGTGGTTGTTTTTGTTTTCTGTTGGTAGGTTTTTTTGTTTTGTTTTGAGACAGGGTCTCAGTTTGTAATCCAGGCTGGCCTTGAACTCACTACACAGCCCAGGGTGGCCTCAAACTCATGTTGATCCTCCTGCCTCAGACTCCTGAGTGCTGAGATTATAGACGTGCACCAACACATCCATCTTTTAAAGACACTCTTCAAAGCCCTTGAAATTAAGAGGTCAATGACCAAGTAAACTGAGGCTCTGTCAGCAAAAAAAACTGCAAAAATCAATTTGTTTACTATATTATAAAGATCTACAACTTAAGAGTTTTTCTCTTTAAGAGAGAAAATGTTTCTTTAAAGAGTTTTTTTAATGTTTCTTTAGAGAGTTTTCTCACAGAGTTTTAAATTGCCTCAAATGTTTTAATATTGTAAATCTTAGCCTCTA